CATTTTTTGACATTACGCAATAAACTAATTTTTTAAAAATTTCAATTAATTTTTAGCTCATTTATTATTTTATTTCTGTGAAATAAAATATGTGTTTTATTAAGGAAAATATTTTTCGGTTTACTTTTTTTAATGTTCAGGTCTCAAATTAATGTTTTCCAAGTTTGTCCCATAGTAGGTGAAATTTTATAAATTGTCCCATAATGAGTACTTTTACCTTACCGAAAGAAGATGTTTTCCGACAAGTGTAAAATTTGCACGGAGGGAGTCGGAAAATGTTTTTTCATACGTGTTGCACACAGTACTTTGTGCGACACCAATTTAGAGAAAATGCTTTTTATTAATTGAATAACAAGCTACAATTAATGTTTATATTTATAATAAAAAATATTTATTAAATTCATAAAATATGTAATAATTTCTATATAATTAGTTTTGTATACAAATTCAAATGCCAATAGCGAGCAAAAGTCAAAGTTCTACAAAAATAAAGCCATAACGCTCGATAAGAAATTGCCAATGGGCCCGGTGACCGTACGCGCATATCTGTCGCGCACCTTTCACTTTTGAGTCCCGCGCGGTATCTCGCGAACCCTTTATTCCTCGAGGTTCTAATTATGATTTTTGAATTTTTGGGACCGTATATGTTTATACATAGGGAAGACATATGCAAATTAGGAGGTGGTGGGTGGTCAAGAGGGTGGAAAGTGGGTGGTAATATTAAAGAAATATATATGCAAATTAGAGGGGTGGTGGGTGACCAAGAGGGTGGAAAGTGGGTGGTAAGGGAGGTGATCAAACGGGTTAAAAATTTCCGCGAGCAACAGCGCAAGTTAGAGGGTGGTGGGTAGCTAATAGGGTGGAAAGTGGGTGGTAAGGGAGGTGACCAAAAGGGTTAAATTTTAAAAATTCCCCGCGAGCAACTAAAAAAAAAAAATTGACGCATTGACTACCAACCTACCAACCTTTCACTTTTGAGCCATCTACTGTGCACCACCCACAGCCACCCACTCCCAACCACCACAGTCCCGCGCGGTATCTCGCGAACCCTTTGTTCCTCGAGGTTCTAATTATGATTTTTAAATTTTTGGGACCGTATATGTTTATACTGAAAAGGGTTATGCAAATTAGGGTGGATGGGCGACCAAAAGGGTGAAAGGTTAAAAATATATATGAAAATTAGGGGGGGGGTAGGTTGCCAAGGGGGTTGAAAGAAGGTGGGGTAAGAGGTGGTGGGTGGTGATCAAAAGGGTTAAAATTCAATAGGTGGGTGGCCTACAGGGTTGAAAGTGGGTGGTAAGGGGTGATCAAACGGGTTAAAATTCAAAAGGTGGGTGACCAAAAGGGTTGAAAGTGAGTGGTGATCAAAAGGGTTAATATGCAAATTAGGGGATGGTGATTGGTGAATAAAAGGGTTAATATGCAAATTAAGGGGTGGTGGGTGGTGAATAAAAGGGTTAATATGCAAATTAGGGGGTGGTGGGGGGCCAAGAGGGTTGAAAAAAGGGTTGCAAGGTCAAACTGTTTTAGAACCGGCACAGCCCTACTACTCATAGTTTATAGATACCGAATTGGTCTATTTTAAAAATTGCGCCGAAATCTTTCTGACGTTTGTTTGTTCGGCCATTTGTAATTTCTATCAAATGAAAATTCTCTGTTTTAGGAATTCTATATCAAATAACAATTCATGTAAATGAAAATTCTGACACATGGAAATTCGATAGTTTGAAAATTCTGACATTATACAATTCGAATCACTTAAATTCTGCTGAATGCGAATTTTGGTAAATTAAAATTGGTTTAAATTGTAATTCTATAAAATAAAAAGTTGGATTACAAAAAATTTGATAAAATAAATATTATTGTTACGCTGATATTTTCTAGGTCGCTGATTACGAATCTAAAGTCAGATTTGAAAATTCAAAATGTCCGATCCAATATGTTAGATAAATATTTTGAAAATTGGTGATTTTTAATAAATTTTCTTAGAGATTGGGATATTTTCATGAAATTCGTTACTTGAAGGTAAGTATATTGTATGCAACGTGCTATTTAAAAAGAACTCCATACTTCGAAAAGACCTTCAGTCCATATTAGTGAAATAACTTCTTATTTGTATCTGCGTCCAGGGCACCTCCACGCGGTCACGGTGGCCAACGGAGTTTGTCCGATATCCAGCTACCTTCATGGATAACAACTTTGATGCCGTCTTGGCAGACACAAAAGAAAAGGTTGAGAAAGTGGGTACTGACATTTTGTGTTTTTCATTTGTAATCAACGATAATAAATACACAAAAATTTACAGATTTAAAAATAATTTATTGTTTTTTAAGATTTTCATCGGCGATATTGTTGAATGATTTTTCATTTTTGGGCATTGTATCTAATGTATAGGGCCGCCACATTGAAATTTTTGAAAACGCCATGCTGCATTCAAAAGTACTTGTTTGTAAGAACATTTTGAGCCCTATAAGACCTCATTCTGTTGCGCTCAATAGGTACAGTGGGTTAAGCATGCAAAAAGTGCCCCCTCACCTAATTAATTCAAACTGGCACCATATATTGGTACCCCCATGAACAAAAAATTTAGCAAGTATGAATCCTTAATACGCATTCTTGGGGGAGTTATGGAGTTATATATGGTCGTAAATACAGGGTTCAAGCTTTAATTAGACTTCTATGACAAGTCTGTAGCACGTCGTACTTACCCAGTAGAAATGTTCAAAAACTGCCAAAAGCGTGCTTTTTGGAACATTTACCACTATTTTTCTCAAAATCCTGACGTGATGGGAGGTTTTCATTGCCAGATTCAGATTCAGCACATTAAAAAATGCAGGAAACGACTTCTCGATCTCTGACAACTGAAATTTTATTTTTTTTGCAGGCTTGTGTAGGCAATAGATACTTCTGCAGTTACCGTAAAAATAGTTTACGGAATTTACCACTTGGAGATTGCAGTACGATTTTAAAATCTTTACTCGGGAGTTTTTTTAGAATAAGTTTCCTTGCCTCTCACGTTGTTAATTATAAGATTTTTCAAATATACGTTGAAAGTAATACTGAATAAAAAGTGAACAGTTATATTATCTGCAGCTCAACACTTATGGTTTTAGACTCCTTTTTCAGGAGTTTTTTTGTGTGAGTTCCCTCGCTTTTCACTTAGTTAATTCTCCTATGTGAGTATACTGTGCTGTATATTTCTAGCATAGTAGAATTCACTAAGTGAGAGGCGAGGGAACTCACTCTAAAAAAACTCCCGAGTAAGGAGTTTAAAATCGTACTGCAACCTCCACGTGTTAAAGTCTGTAAACTATTTTTTAGGGTAACTGCAGACGTCTCTATTGACTATTATAAATAAATAATTATTTTGACGTGATGGAAGGTTTTCGTTGCCAGATGCAGATTCAGCGCATCAAAAACTGGAGGAAATGACTTCTCGATCTCTGACAACTGAAATTTTTTTTTTGTATGCTTGTGCTGTTATAAATAAATAATTAATAAATTTATTTTAATATGTAATAGAAATTCAATGACATTGTTGATATTTCACAATAAATCCGGGAAAATATTAGCTTTTTTCCTAAGCGGATACATTTCTTAAAGAATCATCACACTGTATGCTCCACGCTAGGTAGCTTGTCGCGCCATGTTGCGCGACGGTAGTTTTCGTTAAATTACTCAAAAACTACATTTTTGAAAAATCTGCAAAAAATATATGTTAAAGAGGACATTATACGGTATGTTTAAAGAAAATTAAAGTCGTCACTTCATAAAAATCTCACAAAAAAAAATTTAAATATTTCAAAACTGATTTTTTTTACTTTTTTTAAAAAAAAAAATTTTATATTTTTTTAGAATTGCTTTAACTTTATTTATAACTTGTGCTTTTTAAATTACTTAAATATAAAAATAAAGTCGATATTTGATCATAAAACTACAACAAAATATATTTTATGTGGTGCTACATAACCGGGTCTGGGACAATTTTGCAAATGACCACATAATTTTTTTCGATTCAATTATTTTACAAAAATCCTTTATGTTTCATAAAGTAGGGGACTATAGTTAAGTCTCTACATGTTGTAAATATTTTTCAAGCAGCGTTTTTTACACAGTGCTAACAAAGGGTTAAATAACATTTGGCGGATCGGTGTTTGCTCAAAAACATCCTTCTAACGTGAACATAAGTTGATATAAGTTTCATGTCAGTAGATAAAAGAACATGAACAAAATGACAAGTGCTGCACAACCGGGGCTGCTGCATAACAGGGTACTCTCCCCTAAATAATATACATGAATTTAGACTTGTTGAAATGCAAAAAATTGAATTAAATACAAAATTATTCAATATTATCAAATAATGTATATTCTTTTGAAACAAAAATTTTTTAAATCGAATAAAAATTTCTTAAATACTCACACAGCACGATATCTTATGGTAAGAATACAGTAACCTTATAAGGTACGCCCACCGTTAGTTTACATGATAAGGAGACTGTAAACCTATATAGTTAGGTCATTGTAAGTTAACCATGTTACTTTACAGTAAGATAACAATAAGCTTACATGGTACGAATAAAGTATTAAAAAACTTGTTTAAACAGTATTTGAACAATATTAATTTATTTCTTATGGCACTTAAGGATGCACAGTAAATTTTATTAAACTAAATCCTGTCAAGGTCTCTCACTTATATGCAAATACATCATTTATTGTAAAAAAGTTTCGGATAAATTGTATAATTTAGATATTTGTACTTTATTATACGCATGTTTATAATATCGCAAGCTCACAATACCTTTACTGTAAGACATTGTGCTGGATGGGCAGTAATTTAAATGATATATTTAATACTAATCAGGTAATAGCGAATTTGACTCACTTAATTTTAAAGATATTTATTTTAAACTAAAATTAAATGCTTAGTATTGTGTTAAATCAACAATTCTGATGAAAATAAAATTACTTCTTTGCATATTTTTTAATCCATTCATCTTTAGGTCGTGCAACACTTCAGGAATGGGCTTTAATTTTCTATGGAACGACTACTCTGAATGATCGAAAAGACTATCAACTTTTAAATCCGTCTGTAATCAATATAACACGTAGGCCATTTATGAAATCCAGAGATACAAAATTTCTCAAGAATCAAAATTTTTTATTAGGAAATATTCCGAGAGGTAAGCATACCCATCAGTACAAATCTGATAAAATACAAGCGAGTGTGAATTCGTCTTTTGGAATTAACAGTTCGAGTCAAGTGCAAAGAAAAAGTAAAACTCGTGGTCGCAATAAAAATGTGAAAATGGTCAATAGGCCAACTGGTAATCCTACTGTACAAACATTACGAGGCTTGTCAATTGCTTGTGGTCTCAAAACTGGAGGGGTACGACTGAACACTTCAAAAACTCGATGTCAAAGTACTCCAAATACAATTAAAAATACCACTGACATTGTTCCGACAACAAAATCGTGGACTTATCGCCCAATATCTAAACCCAAATCGACAGATATTGTGACCGTGTCTTCTAGACGACAAGGCCTTATTTTAATGGAACCAGCTATAAAATCTCCAACCAATAATGTACCAAAGGTGTTTCAACAATATCCGAAAATCCAGCAACTATATCCCCTTTACCCAGTTTACGACAAGACAATAATCATGGGTCAACATGCTACCAGAGGAAAGGGTCTCGATTTATTACAAGACGAACAATTTAACTCAAGAAATCATCAATTTAACAAGGGTATCCAAACAATCTACTTAAATGTGTCAGCATGTTATTTTTAGATACACAGGGGTGAACACAATTATTTAAAAAATTATAAGTAGTTATAATTTATTAATCTTACACGGAGAGAATTAGATGGTAAAAACTTATGATCTTAAGATGGTAAAAAGTAGATGTTAACCGGTACCATCATTATGCTACTCTGTACCATCAAAGATGTTACAAAAAAGTACGGTTATGTTACCCACTACAATCAAGAAGTTACTCCGTACAATCTGGATAGTAACTGATAGAATCCACCGTCCGACAAAATTCAACTTTTTTTTGATCCACAAAAAAATAAAACATTTTAGGAAACTTAGACCTAAAAAAATATCCGTGTCTGGCCGTTTTGCTAGATCAAGTTGTTTGTGGTTTTTAGGGGTAAAAACAACCCCTAAATGAAAAGTGACAAGATATCTTTTAAAAATTATTAATATTTTATAAACCTTGGTATCTAGGGGTTTTTGGGGTCACTGATTATTAATCTAATGTCAGATTTTCAAAATTAAAAATGGCGGATCCAATATGACGGTCAAAATTTTAAAAGTTATTAATTTTTTATAAAACTTGGTATCTAGGGTATTTTGTGGTCGCTGATGGCGAATCTGATGTCAAAATTGAAAATGGTGGATAAAAAATAAAAAATTAATAACTTTTTAAAATTTTGACCGTCATATTGGATCTGCCGTTTAAAATTTTGAAAATCTGACATCATATTAAAAATCAGCGACCCCAAAAACCCCTAGATACCAAGTTTTATAAAATATTAATAATTTTTAAAAGATATCTTGTCACTTTTCATTTAGGGGTTGTTTTTACCCCTAAAAACCACAAACGACTTGATCTAGCAAAACGGCCAGACACGGATATTTTTTGTGTGTCCAAGTTTCCGAAAATGTTGGATTTTTTTGTGGGTCAAAAATCGTGTCGGACGGTGATCTAGATAGCTGTCCGTATATATAAGATTAAATATTGTACCTGGTACTATCTAGATAGTACCCCGTACCATCTATTTCTCTTCGTGTATTGATAAACCAAGTGTGAAATCAACACGGCCCAATACTAGCCTTGTATTTGTTTCATTGTTGTGATTTCAAGCGCGGCTACACGTCGACAACCGAGTATCGGCAGGCATTACAGAGTTAATCTTGGCTGCCATTAATGGCTCAGTGTTGGCAAAGTCAAAAAAGAATTTTAATTAAAATTATTAATTAGTCAAACGTCGCGCTTTTAGGTTATCTGATGGTATGGAAAAAGAGCCATTCATTTGTTCTACTGTTTAAAATTGGCGTCCATTTTTATTTCAGGGAAATATAACACATGGGCTACTTGTTTATTTCTACCAGTATAGTCCTTCAGGACCCAGGTATTCCAGTCGGCTTAGCCGACTCAAAGCAATTCTGTTCATTTTTACCCTAGGGCAAACATGGACGCCCTTTTCAGACGAAAGAAAATTATCTTTACACCCGGACGTCAAGTATCTAAAAGCGTCATGTTTTTGCCTGAGGGATAAAAAATGTATTTTTTTGTCAAAATCATAGAACTTTTGATAGAATTATTGACCAATTTTAATGAATCAAAAACGAAATGAAAGCTTATTTTCTAGAGCATAGAGGAAAAATATAGAGAACATGAAAAAAAAATTCCTAATCTATTAAAAATCATTGCAAACTTGACACATTTTTAAAAAAATCATCATTTTTCGCCTGTAGTGCTAAGATAAATGATGAAAATTGCTCACTTAAAGTCTAAACTTGAATACCTTGTCATATTGAATAAGAATCTAAAGTAGATATGAAAAATAAAAATGTTAGAAACAAACTGGTGGCCAAAATTAAAAAATTTTTTAAATCGGTCGATTTCGCTTGAATTTTGTTACTCGGGGGTTTTTGAGGTTGCTAATTACGAATCTGATGTCAGTTTTTAAAAATTTTAAATGGCGGATCCAATATGTCGGACAATATTTGTAAAATTTTATTGAATTGGTACGAAACTCGTTACCTAGGGGTTTTCAAGGTCGCTGATTACGAATTTAACGTGAGTTTTCAAAAATTCAATATGGCGAATTCAATATCGCGGACATAATTAGCTAAAAGTTATGGAATTCGCATAAAACTAGTTAGCTAGGGTTTTTCTAGGTCTCTAACTTCAAATCTGATGTCGGATTTAAAAAATTTCAAATGGCGGATAGAATATGTCGTTTATTTTGTAACTACCTAAAAAGAAATACTTTTTCCCAAATACAAAAAGCTTAAACTTCTTTCAGTTGAGCCCGATTAACATACGAAAACATTTTCCGAAATATTGGAGCAAATAATAAAAAATTTCCAAAACTAACATCAGATTCGTAACCGGCCACCCGGAAAACACCGGAGTAACGAGTTTTAAGCGATTTCAGTAACATTTTACAGATTATAACCGACATATTGGATCCGTCATTTTGAATTTTTAAAAACTGACATCAGATTCGTAATCAGCGACCCCAAAAACCCCCGAGTAAAAAATTTCAAGCGAAACCGATCGATTTTAAAATATTTTCATATTTTGGCCACCATTTTGAATATGACATTTTTATTATGCATATATCAACTTTAGATTCTTATTCAATATGACTAGGTATTCAAGTTTAGACGTTAAGTGAGTAATTTTCGTCATTCATCTTAGCACTAAAGGCGAAAAATGATGCTTTTTTTAAAATGTGTCAAGTTTGCAATGATTTTTAATAGGTTAGGAATTTTTTTTCATGTTCTCTATATTTCTTCTCTATGTTCTAGCTTTCATTTCGTTTTTGATTTCCTAAAATTGATCAATTCTATCAAAAGTTCTATGATTTTAACACAACAAAATAATTTTTTTTCCACTGTGCGTCGTTGGGCCCAGATTCGGTTCATCATTGGCAGAAAAAAATTCGCTGTAAAAGATTAAAAACTTTTGACATTGATTCACAAATAATAGAACGAGATTCGGCCCAAGTTTGACGAAATAGAATTTTTGAAAATCGGTGCCAATATCGGCCTAGTAATGGGAAGAGTTGCCCGCCAATACTGGCCCAGTAACATTTGCTGTATTTCGGCTCATTAGTGGGCCATTGTTAAGCTGTTCTGACAGTCCTAACTTTTCGCATTTGAGAGAGTTAAAAAACTTTCAGAATAATAATAATAAAATTATTTCTTGGAATATTTGGCCTGGACATTTAAACAATTATATTATTATGAAGTTCAAAAAACTTAATTTTTAATTAAAAAACTTATCTAATGTAAAATTAAACAAGGATAATTAAATTATTTATGTCCACATAGAGTCGAACTTTTCTAGAATAAAATTTAAAATTTTCAGGAATTCACATAATTACACCTTTCACCGATGTAGTCCCTCCTAAACCCGCACACCTCTTTGCCATGGCTTTGTCCGCCTAGAAGATGTCCATGAATTGGGCACTATAATATTAATAGTTTGACATGGCATATGAGGCATAATTTAGTGTTCTCTGACATTTTTCCTAACAACAAATTTTCCAAAAGTTATTATTTTCGAATTCTTAATTTTTAAAATAATTTGTTATTATTTTTATAATCCTCGTATTCCGCAATTAATGTTTTGGAAACTTTTTTGTTCAGAAAAATGTCCGGGAATCATAATTTAGTGCTGATGTATACCGTAAAGAAAAAGTGTAGTGTTTTGTAATTTTTACCAAAAACATGTAGTAGTGTTTACTTCAACTGAACTCAGTACTCCGGTATGGATATCTTCAAGACTAATAATTGTATGAACTTCTACTTTGCGCCATAATTTAGTGCTAATTTAGGGCTTTTAAGCTACATACTTTACAATTTTTAAATTGCAATTGCACCCCTTCATTACTAAACTATCACTTTTTTATACAGTGAAGAGGTAAATTCAAGAAAACAATTTTTTAAAATAGTTTTTACTCCCAATGAGTTTAATAATTTTAAAATTTCTCTAACTTTGTATAGAATAACAGTAGAATGTTCGACAATAACTTAAAAGATCAGTCTTAAAAAAACTATACAAAATTAAAGAAAAATATTCATAGATGTCATAACATTTTTTTAGTTATGGGCAAAAAAAAATTTAAACAAATTTTTGAATGCAAAAAAGTAATAGTTAATCTGTATTAATATGGCTTAAAGTACATTTGTCCGACAGTGAGTTCTACAATTAAAAAAAAATTAATCCATTTATCTCTTATAGTATTTGAGATATTTAAAAATGTATGTCGTCGGGTTAGTGGAAAACTATTCCATTTCAGAAAATATTTGAAAAACATGCCATTCCGCGTGAAGATTGGAAAAGATGCCTATTCGTGAAAGCCGTTCTCCTATTTTAAGTTGGTAATACTGACTCGAAATAAATAATAGGCATCTCTAAAAAGCTTTTTCTCTGATTTCTGCTATTCTTATTAAAAAATTTAATAATGAAAACACTTTTTTCAAATTAGTCAAATATCTAAAAATGCCAAAAGTTCGTATTTTACTCTACATATTTTCTTTGACTACTATTTTAAAATTAGATTTCTTGTAATTATTTTTCTACTTGGTTTGCACTTACAATATAGTGCATTTTATATGAAATATTAGCTTCTATATTATTTTTGTTTATTTTGATCTCTTCACGTATACCCTTTTTGGGTTTTTACTATGTCGGTTAGCTTCTATATTAAAATTTAATCGAAACAAAATACTGTCTGTCAGAAATAGAAATTGACGATTTAATTAATAAAAACAGGCCTATTATTTATTTCGAGTCAGTATTACCAACTTAAAATAGGAGAAAAAAAACTCTTCGCCGAAATGGCATGTTTTTCAAATATCATCCGAGATGGCATGTTCCACACGGCTTTCACGAATAAGCATCTTTTCCAATCTTCACGCGGAATGGCATGTTTTTCAAATATTTTCTGAAATGGCATAGTTTTCCACTAACCCGACGATGTGGGGTTTCCTGTAGCGTACTAAGTGAAGAAAAGTTGATCTGATCGGGCTGCAACATGTACATC